AAAACTTATGATCAGTAACCTACATATACACAGTTTCAAAAAGAAATAAATATATTACTGAACTGGTAATCTTAAATAAATAGGAAAGTAATTTTTAATCACATAGACATAACATGTAAATGCTCAGACACACAGTGACACTCCCCCCATGAGCAAATGCTATGCCTGTTGATGCAGATGGAGACAAGCACAGGATAGTTTACCACCGTAGCCATGGCGACTGGCTTTCCAAGATGGTGAACTATTCTTGATAGTGTTTCCAACGAAAGAAGTACAGTCTTACCTGCCTTATATAGTAGTTATATTCTGAGAAAATTTAGTATATTACGAAAAAGGACATTTGTGCTTATGTATAAAACAGACTGTAGGCTCAGATAATTAGTAAAGGGTTTTGGCCTGTGAGAGTGTCTGGTAGGACATCAGAGTGGCATGCAGGTGCAGGGCAATCCCTGGTTGTACAGGACTACTAGCATCCCTGGTCCCCCACACTTAGTGCCTGTAAAGTCTCCTAGTCTCTGTGACCACCAGAAAATACCTTTGTCAATTTCCCAAGCATTCCCTAGGGAGTTGTGCCCCTCTAAGGATACCACTGGTGTAGGGCCTGGTGGCTGCTGTGAGGACATTGGCTTTTTCTCAGCTGTTGGAGGAACCTGAAGAAAGGAGCAACATGCCCTGGTGTTCTGGACTGAGAATTTGTGTCATCCTTCCACAGCCATTCATAAGCTGAAGCCCTAACCCTCGGTTTGCTGGTACTTGAAGATGGGGCCTTTGGGAGATAATTATGAAGGTGGAGCCCTTAGGATGGATGAGTGTCCTTATGAGAAGGGAAAGAGACCAGAGCTCACTCCTTCTCTCTCCACCATGTGAGGACATGGTGAGAAGGTGGCCATCTGCAAGCCAAGAAGAGAGCCCTCACGAAAACCCAATTTCAGACTTCCAGAACCATAAGAAATAAATTTCTGTTGTTCAAGCCCTCTAGTCTGTGGTATTTTGTTATAGTAATCTGAGCAGAGTAAGACACATGGCCTCCACTTTGCAAGATCAGCAAGTGCTGTGTTGAGACTGAGCAGATGGGCCAGGAAGAAGCTGGAAGACCAGGCAGGGGTGTACTGCACTAGTCCTCCAGGCAAGGGAGGATACTAGCTTGGGTCTGAGTCTCAAAGAGGGATTCAGAGTTGAATGGAATAAACTTGCTGATGCAGATACCTTTAACTCATCAAACTGGGGTTCTTCAGAATAGAGGCCTGAAACTCCATTTAGCTGTTTACTTTTTTCAGGAGCCAACAAATTGGGCTTTTTTTTTTTCTTTTTCGCTTTTTGTTCCTCAGCCAAACGTATTGTAGTTTCCAGAAGTGTAGGTTTCTTTCTTTTTTTTTTTTTTTGGAGAGAAGGAAAGAAAGAAAAAAAAAAGGAGTGAAGAAGAGAAATGTAGGTTTCTTACACCATAGTGGCAAGTTATACATAATAGAGAATATGAGTTTTATTTTCTGGAACTAATTTGGGTTGTGACATTTTACTTTAGGGGCCGTCCTTCTAAGCAGTGATTTTGTAACTGTAGTAACATCACAGTCTGTCTTTCTCTAAAATTTCACCAGTAAATAGGGTTGAATACATTTCATCTCTGCACTTTTAGACCAAATGCAAACTGAGAATGTTGCTATCACATTTTGTTTTAGATTAGCTTGCTTTGGCCTGATGGAGTTTAGAGGACTTTCTTTAGTATTTCTGGGGCTTCTTGAGCTCACCTTGAAATACTAGTTAATGCTGATTTTTGACACTTGAATCCTCATCAAATTATAGAGTATTACTTGGCAACCCTGCTCCATTTTCTCCTGTCTCCTTTCCAATAGTAGGCATAAAGGGTAGGGTCAAATTAGAACCATTTTTTACTAATCATAAAAATATGCAATATGACTACTCTCTTAGCCAACTGGCCCCAGACTCCTGAGCTGTCCCTTGCGTGGATGTTCAGATAAATGATAAAACTCTCCAGATATGACTCTAGGTCCTGAGGGATAGCAGGTGAACAAAACAGGACATAATACTGGAGATTTCTTAGGAGGGAAGAGACAGAACAAAGTTATTTGAAATTTGAAGATAATTTTAGTCTCACATGAATGTCTCTTTCTAAACATATGCCTCTTGCCACAGTTCCTCCTTGTGCCAACGGAATCATGGCCAAGCAGTCTAGTAAATAGAGAAAATAGAATGATGCTTTGCTACTTCCCCCTTGATGCACAGGTGGTCACCGAGCCCTGTCATGTAGACTAGGAAGGACCCTGCAAATCTGACTGCTCCTCTCTGGCCCCCTTGCTGGTGCCTTAGCCAGGCTCTTGGCATTCATTTCCTAGATGAGCACCATCCATACCCCCCACCTTAGCCCTCTCGTTCACTTGTCACACTGCCCTCAGACACACCCTCCAAAAAGACCAGTTGGATCCAGCTGTGACCCTACCCGCTGAAATACTCTTGGTGTTGTCTTTAGTGGTGGCGTTCTGCCTACACCGGTGTGTGATGTGTTACCTGTGAGTGATGGGGAAAGGACAAATAGGAAGCATGAGCATCATCCATGATGGGTTGGCCATTTCAACAATTGGCCCTTCATCACTGCTAGTTTGAGGCGTGCTGCTCCACAGGGTCAGGTCTAAGCTTCTTAGTTCATGTGCGAGGCTATTTGTGGTCTCTCACTACCCCCACAACTCCCTGGGCTCCCTCCTCTCCCCAGCAGGTGCCCTACTGGCAGCCATGTAACTCCTTACCAGGCCTTGGAGACCTTCAGCCTTTGCTCATGCTTCCTTTCCACCAGCAGCCTACAATGTTGGACAAGCTCCTGTTCATCTGTGAAGACCCCTTCCCAGGCTACCTCCCTGGCTTCTCAAGCAGGGTGGGCCCCTTCTTTGTCTGGGTTCTGGAGGTGCTTTGCTGCACCCTCTGTTGTGGCACTTCTGGCTTGTGTTATAAATTTTTGTTCTCATTTGCTTCCTAGTGGATTTCTGCCTCCTTGCTGGGGCTCTGGGCAGCCAGGATGCTCAGTAAATGTCTGAGGCACCTGATGCTGACTTGGGTCCCAGAACTCTTCTGCCTGGACGTCTTCTGGGAGTCCTGAGAAACAGATGGGGCTTGCCTGCCTTCTCAGGATGAATCATTTGTTGCTTGTATCATAGTCATGACAGTTTCCAGTTCTAGTTTCTGATCTTGGGTTTTGCATGGCTTTTGGCAGTTAGTTTTTCTGTCCTGTGCTTTAGGCAGTGTGTGTATTACTCTGGAAGAGTTGGAGATCTGTCTTTAGAAGTGCAATGGAAACATTTGGAGGGGAAATTGTGAAAAGTGATGATGTTTTGCTCATAGGTCTAACCTGTTTTCTCTCAAAGACTTTTCTAGGCTTACAATATTCATCATCTACCTTTCTACTTCATTGCTTAAGAATAAGAAAGTTGTTTCTGGCCAGGTGTGGTGGCTCAAGCCTGTAATCCCAGCACTTTGGGAGGCTGAGGCGGGTGGATCACGAGGTCAAGAGATCGAGACCATCCTGGTCAACATGGTGAAACCCCGTCTCTACTAAAAATACAAAAAAATTAGCTGGGTACGGTTGCACGTGCCTGTAATCCCAGCTACTCAGGATGCTGAGGCAGGAGAATTGCCTGAACCCAGGAGGCGGAGGTTGCAGTGAGCCGAGATCGTGCCATTGCACTCCAGTCTGGGTAACAAGAGCGAAACTCCATCTCAAAAAAAAAAAAAGAAAGTTGTTTCTTTCCTCTCTGTTGTTGTGAAGGATTAAAAATTAAGTTTTATAAAAGGGGCTGTGAGAGAAACCTGTTTTTGCTTTTGAGCATCTTGAAAACGTGTTGGTTCTTTCTTTTTTTTGTATTTTACTTTTAAACATAGAAGGTTTAAAACATACCCAAATGTAGAAATATTATATAAAGAACCCCCATATACCCATCACTCAAGTTTGACAGGGACCAGTTCTGTCTAGCCTTGTTCACCTGTACCCCCACTCACTTTCCTTCCTTATTTTTGGGACTCACTTCAAAGTAATGCATCTCTCATTTCGGATGGCTCGTCTTAGCAGCTGCCACACATGTGGTGTAGATCTCAGCTCCAATGGGTCGTCTTTGCAGCATTGGTTGGCGTGTCTTTGAATGTGGCTGTGATTGTTAAAGTACATGGATGAAGTGCCTTATTTTGGCTGTGACTTAGTCCCTGTCGCTTGGTTCACCTTTGAGTGTCTGGTTTGATGGCACCTCCTCACTCAGGAATGAATTCTGTGAAGTTCTGGCATCCTGAGAGGCACTTGGACATAGGCTGTAGTGCTGAATTGTCTTCATTGCCTTCATGATTGATTATAATACTCAGTGTGTGTTTTTCGGCCTGAGTTACTTCTGCCAAGATGGAGATAAATGAGAACACAGTAGAATTCAGCTGCCTTTAGTATGGACAGTTTTATGGATTGCTTGGTCATTTCTACATGATCATCTTTGTCAAATATAATAGTTCATGACTTAGAGGTTACCTCTGAAGAAAACTTGTTACATCCTTTTCCAGTTCTGATGAGATTAGATAGAATGTGAGGAGCCTTTGATTAGATGCCTTTAAAAAAAATGCTTTCTTCATGAAAGCTGAACTGTAAAGAATGTCTGAGACTTTCTCTCTTACAATTTGGACTTAACAGCTTTAATGGGAGTTTATGGCTTAGGTTAATGAAATGCTTTTTCTCTGGAGGGAAGGAATGGGCTGCCATTGAGGAGAAGTATTTCCTAATTGGGTCACTCGAATGAATGAACTGTTTTGGGAGACTAAAGGTTTGAGTTAAGGGAGGGTGAATGACTTTGTTTCTGCCAGTAATTTTTTTAAAAATAAGAAAACAGAACCTTAAGCACATTCTTGAGAAAATAGCAATTGTTTACCTCATTCAGGCTGCACCTTTCTAGTTTCACTGTTACCTGTCAGCCAGGGTTAAAATCTCCTTATCATCTTTTTTTTTTTTTTTTTTAAATCAGTCTCTGTAGAGACTGTCAAAAATTGCCAGTGCCGACTGTATTGCAAGTCATCACGGTGGGGTATTGGGAAAAGTTTTCAATTAGCAATAATTGCGCCTTGGATAAACCTCATTGGCTACTGCCACTGTGCAAAGCTTCCTTATCATCTTTAACTCATTCCTTTCTCTCACTGTGTTTATCTGGACAGGCCTCAGGTTTTGCTGACACTCTTCCCTCCTGTCTGCCAAGGTGGAGATAAATGAGAACACAGTAGAATTCAGCAGCCTTAACAGAGAACCCAGCTGAAAGAGTTCTGACTCCCCTCCCCGGTCCTCCCTCCTCCCAAGCTCAGGTCTGTCTGGGGCTGCTGCAAGCACCTTTGTGATTCCTTCTCCCCTTTTTCCTTCATTTTGTGCCCCAATGCCCACCTGTCTAACTTGCCTTTAGAGGACTCATACAGGTTGAATATCCCTTACCTGAAATGCTTGGGACCTGAAGTGTTTCTGATTTTGGATTTTTTCAGGTTTGGAATATTTGCATTATATTTACCAGTTGAACATTTCAAATTGGAAAATCTGAAATATAAAATGTTCCAGTGAGGATTTCCTTTGTGTATCATGTTGGTGCTCAGGGTTCAGATTTTGGAACATTTCAGATTTTGGATTTTCAGGTTTGGAATGTTCACCCTGTATCACATTTCTCTTTTTCTCAGAAGCTTCCAATTGGACCATAGTGCCCAGCATTCCACATCACAAAGTTTTCAAGGCTTTCTTCCCCATGGCATCACTGCCTGCAGTCCAGCCTCATTTGTGTTGTTTCTCAGAAGGAACACGTTACACTTCCTAAGCCTGCGTCCTCCATCCTGTGAACACAGTGATGGTTTTTCACTCATGTTGTCTTGTCATCCCCATGCTCAGGGCCAGCTGCTTTTATGAGGGTTTTCTGCTCAAGTATTCTGGCTCCACCTAGGAAAGCCTGTAGTGCATGCCCCACGTTCTAGCAGTTCATTATGTATTGTTCATATACATTAGCTTCATAATTCAAGCCATAATCTCCTTTCTTTATACTGCATGGCTCTTAACAGAGAACCCAGCTGGAGTAGATGTGTGACAGTTGTTTCTGAGATGTGCTTGGTACATCTCAACAGAAAATTACTAGTAGTTAGACTACTTTACTGATAAAGTCCTCTTCCTCCTGGCGGAGTAAGCGGGGAGCGTGCGTGTAGAGGATTACACAGACTATACAGCACTTGAGACTTCATCTCTGCTTGTTGGTCCTTAAATACCTTTCAAAAGGGCCACCCCAGAATATTTAAAATCACTGCTAGATGTACACTTAGAAGGAACTGGTTTGGAGACTCTAACTGTATGGCAATTTTTTTTTTTTTTTTGACACGGAGTTTCACACTGTTGCCTGGGCTGGGGTGCAGTGGCACCATCTCAGTTCACTGCAACCTCTGCCTCCCAGGTTCACGCATTTCTCCTTTCTCAGCCTCCTGAGTAACTGGGATTATAGGCACCTACCGCCACATCTGGCTAATTTTTTGTATTTTTAGTAAAGACAGGGTTTCACTGTCTTGGCCAGACTTTGGTCTCAAACTCCTGACCCAGTGATCCACCCACACTGACCTCCCAAAGTGCAGGTGATATCTTAGTTGTATTAGGAGAGAGAGTTGTACAGCATTGATTTTCAGTGCTGCATTAGAGGGGTCAGAAAGGTGGTCAGATGGGGTCAGAAAGAACAAGGTGGAGGAGGGCAGTAAAGCCAGGGTTCATTTAGATTCCACCAGAAAAGCACTACGTTCCAGAAATACCCTTGCTCATCTGAGAAAGAGAAGAGAATGATCTTGCGAGGCTCCTTGAGCTCCAGTCAAGTGAGCAACCTGTTCTTTTGGCTTCTGTAATCAAAGGGATCTTATTTCTTCCTACATGGAAGGAAGTCTGCCCAGAGCTACCTCCAGGGAGAGGCCGTCAATCCCCAAGTCTGGTTTGAAACAATTACCTAAATTTTCATTGATTTAGTCAAAGACATTTTTCTGTAGCTGCCTTATCACCCCATGTTTTCCCCATGACCTCACCAATTCTGCCAAGCTTGCATTTAGGGAAGCCTGGTATGGTCCTGACAGGGTCCTTCATGCTCTTAATGTGGGTTTCCCTTCAGTCCCTCTGTGCTCTGTGCAACTGGAAGAGCAGGCTTGCCAGAGTTACGCCACAGGTGATAGCAGGATGAACAGCCCATTCTCTCCAACCTGTTGCAGACGTTTGCCTTAAATAGCTTCTGTTTTTATCCTCTTTTTTTCTTTTAACTTTTCATTTTATAAAAACTTTATACATACCACAAAGTAAGGAGGGTAGTGGCATGAAACCATGTACCCAGCACCCAGCTTCAATAATGATCAACACATGGTAATCCCTGTTCCCCTCCCTTCTGTTATTCTGAAGCAAATGCTATATCATTCCACCCATAAATTTAAATAATCTTTAAATGTGAGTGAAGAAACAGTACTATGCCTGGGCTGTTTTTAGCCTTTATAATATAGGTTTCTGTGTGGAAAAATCATTTTCACTAGGAAAAACTTATTTGAATGATTGTATATGCAATATTGAATATCTTAAATTATTGATTTCCTTTCATTCTACAGACAGTATTGTCTCCTACATATGAGGGGAGCAAGGACCCAGGCAGCAGTGACCCAGGAGTCCGCACTCTGATTATTCATTGAACTCTGCAGTAAGCTTTCTGCACTTTGTGTATATTTCACAATAAACAAAATACATGATCCCTGCCCCTCAAATGGCTTAAAATTCAGTCCAACCTCCAGATATTTGAGAACCAGAGAAGCCATATGCCATTGAGTACCTGTCCTTGAGAATGTTAAAAGTGCATCATAAGTGTATACTAAGTGCAGTGGACAGTCAGTTTCTGACTTCCCAGAGAAAGGTGCATTTGAACAGACCCTAAGGGCCAAGCAGACTTAGGTTGATAGAGATGGAACAGATGATGGAAAACACAGAGATGAACATCAGAAGGCGTGGGGTGAGTTTGGGAAAGAGGTGTCATCAAGAGAGAATTATGAAGAAGAATTGGGCCCTGGTTTTGAGGGCCATGAATGCTTAGGCCTGTGGTTCCCATCATTTGCTAAGGTGTTCTGGAGTGCTGTAGTGAACTCTCTGGGGCACTGCAGCTTGGGACAGGGTTTTGAAACAGTGATCATCAGTATGTGTCAAACACCATGCTTGAGGGAGTTTATAATTTCAACATTAAGTTGTGCTGCCTTCCTTTCATTGATGTTCCATCATTGTAAAGCTGAGTTTTGGGCGGTTGCTGTGATAAAATTCAAACAACACACGATAATCACTGTGGAATGGTAACAAGACAGCAGCGTCCAATCTTCTTACAGGGTTTGGAAGTTGTGCAGCACCCAACAGGTATAACCCATCCCATTAGTTAGTAATCATGGTTAAGAACAAAATAAAATGTTTTCTTCCAATCTGTATGTATTTTTCCCCCACATGGCTTCTAAGTTACTAGGCCCTAAGTACTTATGATTTGTTTGGTCCTAACTATTTAATAAATGAAACCATTAGGTATTTCTTCTAGCCTAAGATTGAATAAATTACTGAGACACTAAGGGTGCTATGAGCCTGGAAAGTTTGAGAAACTCTGACTTGAGCCACAAAAATGAAAGGTATTCAGTTGGCAGAGGGGTGTCACTGTCAGATTTCATGTGGAGGAACAAATTTGCCTTCGCCAGGCTGTCTTAGGCAGTGGATGGAGTGTGTATCCGAGAGGCAAAGACTCCAAGACATGGAGCTGGTTAGGAGACTGTGGTGTAGACCAGTGAGAAGTGGTGACTCCCTAATTTTGGCAGTGATAAAGGAGATGAAAAGGAGGACATAGATTTTAAGAAGTGTTTAGTAGATTGAATCTTAGAAAACTCAGAATTTTCAATGAATTGAATGGGAGAGAGAATTAAGAAAAGGGCAGCAGTAAGGACAGCCCTGAGTTTCTAGATTGTGTGTTGGGTGGAAGTGACCCACCAGCCACTCTGGGGAGTATGAAATGAGGAGCAGGTCCTGGGGGTGTGGCCTTGGGCTGTGACACCCATAGCAGTTGCAAGTGGGACTGACTGGGTCAAGTAGTACAAGGGAGAACATTGTCAGATGCCATTCGGAGGATTTGCAAGTGTTGGTTTTGGTCACGGGAATGTGGCAGTGGTTGTTCTGATCTTATTCTGAGGGTAGGGGCCAGAGGGCAGTGATAGAGGAAGATAAGAAGGCAGAAAGGTGGAGCAGTGTGGTTTCCCTGCATGGCCAGTCACCCAGCTTGGTTAAAAAAGCAAATTCCTTGTCTCTACCTACAAAGCCAGCTTCTTGGGGGAAGAACCTAGGAATCAACATTCGAAAAATTCCATAGGAATCTCTAATACATTGCTGGTTGAAATATAAAACAGTACAACCCCTTTTGCAGACTGTTTGTCAGTTTCTTGTCAAATGTAAACAATATGATGCAGCCAATCCCCCTTAAGTGTTTTAAGAAATGAAAATAGGTCCAGGTGCAGTGGCTCATGCCTATAATCCCAGCACTTGGGGAAGCTAAGGCAGGTGAATCACAAGGTCTGGATTTCAAGACCAGCCTGACCAATATGGTGAAACCCTGTCTCTACTAAAAATACAAAAAATAGCTGGGTGTGGTGGCATGTACCTATGGTCCCAGCTACTTGGGAGGCTGAGGCAGGAGAATCACTTGAACCCAGGAGGCATAGGTTGCAGTGAGCCAAGATCACGCCACTGCACTTCAGCCTGGTCGACAGAGCAAGAATCTGTCTCAAAAAAAAAGAAAAGAAAATAGGTCCAAATAAAGACTCATACACAAATGTTCATAGCAGCTTTATTCACACTAGCCAAAAAAATAGAAGCAACTCAAATGTCCATTAGCAGGTAAGTGGTAAACACACTATAGTAAATTATTACAATGGAATACTGTTCAGTGATTTAAAAAAAAAAAAAAGAGCAAACTATGATACACACAACAATGGGGATGGATTTCCAAGGCATTATGTGAAAGAAAGAGGCCAGGCACAAAAGAGTACCTACAATATGGTCATTTGTGAAATTTAAGAACAAACAAAATGAACTGGTGCTTATCTGGAGCAGA